TATTATTTATTATATGCATATATACATTGGTATCCATATAAAACCTATGGATTAGATTAAGTTAAATACTACCGAATCATCTTTCAACTCTAAAAAGATAGAAACAAAGGCTAAAGGGTTGATCATTTCTCTAAAATGAAAGGAAGAAAATATTTAAAATGAGCTGAGGAGCTCAATTTTGAAAAGATATTTATATTACCATTGATAAGCTTGTGGAAATGAACCTAAGAATTCTGTAAGAGGAGTAAGTTTTAGTGTTCCAACTTTACATGGCTGTGAAATAAATTAGCATTTCAATCTGTGATTCAGAAACAGCACTGTGAAGACATTATAAAAGAACATCCTTCCATGTGCTTTTAAAAATACTCATAAAAACTAAGATGAAATATCTAATTGGTTACTAGCTATACTTCATTTAATATCAAATTGACAAACTATAGATACATTTACAACATAAGCAGGTGCCGGGAATAACGGATCTGTGCTGGAGACTGTGTGAGGCTTCAGGTTCACTCTCCAGTACTATCCGTACCCACAAAGTTACATCCTAAAAACTCTCAACTTTACACCAAGGAGGTCATGACTGCCACAGATGGAAATTCTGCTTACCACAGTCAGAGTGAATACTGAAATCACACACCCTTCTTTTCCTTCTGGTATGGAAATTTAGAGTGGTTTTTCCCCTTTTCACATTTTTTTTGTTTTATTGCTTTAATTACATGCACTCTTTTCATAATAAAAATTCTTTATATTCCATATCTGTATTTTACATTCTATCTCCAGGAACAAATGCCCGGAAATCACTAACCACAGGACGAGCCCATCTTCACTGCAGTAGACAAGTGATGGCCCAGACTTCCTGCTTGTGAGGATCCTGGAGTTAAACCATAATATAAAATCCAGAATGCAGCATTGTGAACCCTTCACTGCCAATTCAAAAGATTATTTTATTTGAATTTAAACTGAGAAGATGCCACTGCTCAGGTCAGCTGCAGGCAGTTCCCAGAGGATTTCAACTCTGTCGTGGCCATAAGACTTTGTATATGTACACCCTCAAATTTAATAAAAATGCTTCAGACTGGGTTCAAATGTCACACTAACTGTGAGACAAAATGCAAGAGTGATTCTGGATGTCGGCGGCAGGCGAGGACAGACACTGTGAATGAGATATGAGAGCAGCTGCGGTGCCGCTCCTTACGTCCCCCACCCCAGCAGCATTTAAACGCGGTCAGAATTGGCTGCGGAGAATATGGTTGTCTTCATTTATACTCTAAGATGAATTCTGCCAACAAGCAAACAGCGAACACATGTGGCGCTGCAAACATACCCAGACTAACTTACAGATATGTGTCAAACTCAGACACACAAAAGACATGTTTGACTGTCGAGATTTTCTCGTCTTTCGAAGTGGATTTGACTATCCTTTACTAGTATCGCCTTAACCATTTCCTTCAATTGCTGATACCTTTCAAAAGCAATCTCACAATCAAACTTGAAGAAACTATGGGTCTCTGAGTCTCAAATTCTCAAACTGATACATCTTTTTCTTTCATTATGATTATTATGCAACACACACACAAACACACACACACCACAGCCCTTTAGAAGTTTGCTTTCTCCTATGCTACCCCAAAGAAATGTGTCAGTAAGTGATGGGCATATTGTGAATACTGCATATGAATCAAGGACACGGGGGTCTGGTTCTTGGTTCCTCACCGTTTCTTTGATTACCTGGTGGTTTGTAGTGTGAGAGGATTTGTAATCACAGAGTTTTCACGGATTCTATCTGGCCCTTTATATAATGTCATAACATCTTAGTGATGCATGTCCTGGTATCTGCTCTCAAACTACTCACTATGGTTCCTTGGTCTTGATCATGTACCTTCACCAGAAATGGTGGGATCTCCGGCAGTTCCTCTAGTCCTCAGTGGGTATGTGCACCCCACCCTACTAGAGTTCGTACACAGCCTCCAGGGTGTACAGAGTGGAGGGGAGGCAATCGCTTTCTTCTGACAGCAGTTCCACAACGTGGCATAGCTGCTGCGCTGAGGGAAGAAGGCCTCATTGCCAAGTTGGCAGCTCATGTCCTCCCATGGCAGCCTTTGCCTTTCCCGTGCTCCTTCCCTTCCTCAATTAGGGCAAGTGAATACAACAAAATAGCCAAGTGACTGTCAAACGCTCCTGCAGAGAGTTGGCAACACACAAATCAGAACTGCTGTGCTATGCTGTCGGAGGGCATGCATATCTTCAGCAGAGAGATGAAAGAATATTTAAATTGTCAACAGAGAATTTTTAATAAAGCCCGCATAGGCACTGAGGACTGTGCTTGTGAGGACATCATCTTGGGACCCGAGAAGCAAGTTCTGCTTTCTCAATAAAATCTGACGAAAATGCACCTATAACTATTCACTCAAATGTCCGTGACTTCTTGTTTGTTTGTGCTAAAGTGGCGGGGACAGAGACCACATCTGTCTAGAAAAGACAAAAATATTTACATTGGCTCTTGTATAGTCTTCTCATAGCTGCAGGTAGATATATAGCATATATAAATATATATGCATGCTGTAGGTATATGAACATGGTTACTTATAACAGAGTTAAGACTGTGTTTATTGAATTATGTTTTAAAGTATATATGACTGGTTATATCTATAGCTGTCTGTCTATCATCTCTCTGTGTAGTTGAATACCCATCTATGTTCAGCAGGTCTCATACAGGACATAATACATCAGCTTATTCTTTTTTGTTAAAAGTATAGAGATGCAATTTGGCTAAAAATTCACAAAATAGTTACACCAGTCTGTGTCAATATAAGTGTTCAGCATAGGAAGTTGGCTCAGATAACTTTTTCTGAAGTCCTGATCTTTCCCTTAATAATTCCCTAAATATGATGATAAAATGTTTTATAGGAGCTCACAAGTACTGAAGGATGGTATCAGTGATGCTCTGGCCTTCAGTGAAAGTCATGAAGACCCCATCTGCCACTGGGCTTGAGAGGGAAAACAAACAGGGCAGGGACTGTCCTGGGATCTCAATAAAAGCCATAGAAACCTAGAAACACTTCAGCATAAAGACTTTCAGAGTCTGGTTACATTTGGAAGAGTCTACTTTCATAAAAATGATGTTTGAAGAATTCTTTATAGTGATCATTTAAATTACATATGTGTGTTCACATGTATACATGTATGGTTACATGCACACATTTGTGTGTGGAAGTCAGAACACAGCACACAGCATACTTATATATTAGTGTGTGAATAGATTTCTCTGTGTTGTGAAATGCCTTCATTGTCCGTTTTCTGGGCCTTCAGTTATTTTCTTGGGGATTTGGGGACCAAGCTAGATGGGGTTCCTAAGATGCTGCCTCGGGGTTAGGGTTAGCCATCACCTCTTATATCTGCTCACTGGGAAACTCTTTGTGCCTCTTAGCTGAGTGATGGTCCAGGCCTGAGTCCCTTTTTGCGATCTGATTTCTGTGTTCTGGTTTTCCTCAACCAGTCACCCTAAACACTCACCTACTCATCTTCCCTTCAGCTGTTCTTTCTAGACCCACACCAGGTTCTTTAAATCCCAAACCTTTCTTAACTTTTCCTAAGTGTCAGTTTCTGTTAGCACTTCTTCTTTTTGATAAAGAATAGTGGTGCATTTATCCCTACTCTAACCAATTTACTCGCACTGTAGCTACCCTTCAGTGGTGCCATTTCTGGCATAGGTCAATCTGGAATCTCTGGAGATGGCAGAGTCTACTAAAAGGCCCAATATCACTAGTCAAAGGTGTCCGGCTGTTGGCATGAAACAGGAACCCAAGCACAGAACAGTTTACTCTCTACTCTATGTTTCAGCAATTATAGAATTATTAAACTACGAAAACACTAACAATTATTTGAGATTTTGGACATTAAATGTGTTTCATATGCTACAGTATTCTGCATTTGTAAGTCATTATAGCCTTGTTTAAAAGGCAAAGTATCAGATTATTTAATTAGTCATGGTTCAGAGATACTCTTACAAACCAATGAACTCACAAATCCTCCTGTGTTATTATAGAAATTGATTTGATTTCATTGGAAAAAGTGCTTTCCATTAACGTATTTTACCAGTTATCTTAAATGCTTTTAGACCAATAAGTGTTTAAAAGTCTTGCTAATTTAAATAGCCTATAGACAAGGCTACTCTTCTCTAATTCAAACAGGAACCAAACAAAGAGAAATCCGAAACAGACGAGGTAAAGACATGAGTCAGAGCTTGTGGTATTGGTTTGCTAGAAAGCTTTGCATAAGAAATGCAACTCAAGATACAAAATAGTTAGCCGAGCAGTGGTGGCACACACCTTTAACCCCAGCACTCAGGAGGCAGAGGCAGACAGAGCTCTACGAATTCAAGGCCGGCCTGGTCTACAAGAGCTAGTTCCAGGACAGGCTCCAAAGCTACAGAGAAACCTTGTCTCAAAAAATAAAAAAAAAAGAAAAGAAAAGAAAAAAATACAAAACAGCATCATATTTGCACACATCCACATGTAGATGAGCAAAGATCTACACATGGCGTTTCCTTTGGTCACCTTCCACTGTTTCTTTAGAGACAGAATCTCTCACCTGACCTGGAACTTCACCAGCTAGTGAGCTGGACTGGCCTTCAAGCACCAGTGATCCTCTGTCTCTGTCTCCCCAGTGCTGCGACCACAAATCTGTGCTACCTGATTTTGATCTGGCCACTGGGGCGGACGTGAAAACTCCATGCTTCCACAGGAAGCACCGAAGCTATCTCCTAATGCTCATAATTTAAAACTTTACATGATCCATATTGAAAAAGGTAAAACTGAAAGCAAAAACGCAGTTAAGGTCAGATTTAACATCAGGTGTGTGAGGTATTAATTGTTAATTACTCAATGTACCCATTCCTCGATTTGGGTGCTTCAAACAACATAACATATTAAATATCTATGATATATAACTTTAGCTAAAACCAAAAAGGAGTGTGAGAGATGGTTCGTTTCTCTTACCTACACAAGTCTTCTTTTATGTTCAGGGCAATTAACTCCTTTGGGATATGGAAGGAAAGAACGCTTTCCGACATCTGCTCGCGGATCTGCATCCACTTGTTGTCGGATGTGGGGAATCTATAGAGCTTACACACAGGATTCCTTAACACTGGCCAGGAAGAAAGAAGGGCAGGAGTTAAATCAAAAGCAAATGTGTATCACGAGAAGCTCGGTAAAGAAAATCATCACTTAGGGCAACGTTTCGCTTATCCATTTAATAAACAAAATCCTGCTTATTGGAATCCATTAGTGAACTTGAATTTTTAAAAATACTTTTTCTCAGTGGTTAAGAGCATTGCCTGCTCTTCTAAAGGTCCTAAGTTCAATTCCCAGCAACCACAGGGTGGCTCATAACCATCTGTAATGGGGTCTGGTGCCCTCTTCTGGCCTGCAGACATACACGCAGACAGAATATTGTATACATAATTAATTAATACTTTTTACATCACATTTTGGTGTTAGCATCTGGAACTCACAGTCTTTGTTAAGTTTGGTAAGCATATCTGAAAATTCAATTAGTAAATGCAGCAGTGTTGACTCTTCCTCAGCTATTCACTCTTTTTGTCTTTAAATATTTTATAAAGCATACACACCTATAAATATGGATTAAAAAATTTAAGTACATATATGCAAAATACACTTTAGAGAACTTTTATGAGCATTCTCTGATCACTCTTAGCTTTGTATACTCGAGTAAGTAACAGTATACATGCTATTTCATAAATACTTGAAATTCTTTCCAAAGGCCCTACGAATTAAAATTTTTATATGTCAGAAAAGTTTATGTCTTTGTCCTAAGATCTATAAAATAAATATTTTACATATCTTCAAATGCCAACATTTCAATATCACACTTTCCTGTCTTATCAGAAGTCTTTGGCATTGGGAAAGCATGCTATTTGGAGTAGGTTTAAAGAGTAACTGGGTCATACAATCCAAGATTCAGGAGCAGAGGGAAAGGTCACACATTAACCTTATGCGTGATCTTCTTCGGGAATCCCAAACTCACAGCTCACTCCCAGATCACACCTTTCAGGACAGAATGCTCTGCAATTGCTGCTGGGTGATGACACCCATTGTAACACTCAGACACCAGGCTTAAATGACAGAGCAACGTCAGATGTCACCAGTTTATATCTAGAAGAGTCAGCTTCAGTTTACCAATACAGCCAGTTAAGACTATTAGTTGACACTGAAGTGAATCTATCAAATTGTAAGCAATTCTGAGAATAACACATGGGTCAGGTCCCCTCATCATAAGATGGACAAGACCTCACACACCTTTAACCCTCGGGAAGAATACCATATCTCATTTGCTATTTGAGTAAAGATGAAATGCCTTTCCTGAACTTGGAAATGAGAATATGTACACCCATCCTTCTGTAACCACCTCAAAGAAAGCCTCTCAACAACAGTATCCTTATCAATATATATGAGAAACCTTGATTCTAAATATCATTTTTATTTTGTATGCATGTTTATGTATATATGTGAGCATGGGACATGTACATGTATTACATGCACATGTATGTGATGTACTCTCAAAGTTCAGGGGGACATCAGCCATTCTGTTTTATCACCCACTGCCTTAGTGGGAGAAGGTGTTTCTTATTGAACCTGAAGCTCAGCTGAGAGGATGTAAGTCCCCACCCATCTTGCCATGTCTTCTCCCACTGCCCAGTTCTGGATTTTCCCATGCAGAGGCAGGGCAGTATCTGGCCTTGTATGTGGATGCTGGGATCTGACTCGGCTTCCCTTGCTAGCACAGTGAGCACTGTCATCCACAGACATAGCTCTAAAGTCTCCCAATGTCTTGTTCTCAGGCCAGCAAACTCAAATCTTCTAAAATACTTCTATACCCTGGCCAAGAATTAGACAGAAGGTGTATCTTCTACAGACCTGATAAGGGTATGAAGCAGCAGAAGCCTTCTAGGACAATGAGAGAAAATAACTTAACATCTAGAAATAATGTATGCTCAAAAAGATCATATTTTTGACATTTTATGATATTTTACATTTTATCCATCTGATCATATCACAAAACTTACAAAGAGTTTACTATATTTTTCTAAGAGTTGGAGAAGAGAGGAGAGGGAGGGGAGGGAGAGGAAGTGAAGACAGAGTAGGAGAAAAGAGGGGAGGAGAGGGGGTGGAGAGGAAAGGGGAGTGGAGAATAGGGGAGGGAAGAGGAGGAGAGAGGACGGGGAGAAAAAGAGAGGAGAGAAAAGGAGGAGAAAAGGAGAGGAGAGGGGAGGGGAGAGGAGGTGAAGAGAGGGGAGAAGAGGAGAAGGGAGGAGAGAGAGGTAGAGAGGGAAGGGAGGAGAGGAGGGGAGGGGAAGGGAGGACGAGAGCAGGAGAGAAGAAGAAGGAGAGGGAGGAGAGGAGAACAAAGAAAAGGCATGTACTGAATTCAAGAAGATTCCCTTAGGTTAACTTGTATCTGGCAAGAGCTTATCAATTCACACAAGCATACTGAGTTTGGAAAGGTGATAGTCTTCTTTGTGGTAAAACAAAACCTCAATATTTGAAATGTCTAAAATATTTCCTACTAAGGTATGAAAATATGAATCACTTAGTTATTCTGTAGGCACTCCATTGCTATGCCTTAAACTCCCTTTGCAGAGTTACAAAGTCTCTTTCTGTCTCTCAAAGCACTTATAAGGGTCTTTGGATATTTCTTGCCCTTTAAAGATCAGCAATTATTTTTTTCATGCAATTTAGATTTTGAGTTCTGTCAGAAAACTTAGAGCTCTCCATTGTCTTTGTCAAGCCCCAAGCGAGTCCTTCACCTTTTTATTTTATTTTTTTGTTTGCTTTTCATTTTAACGACCTTCATGTTTTCTAATATAACCCTGTGTCGTTGACATTTTTTAAAAGCCGAAAACAAGGACAATTTGATTAATGACCAGGAGAGAAAGTCTCCTCTGACCACTATGACACATCATCCACACAGCACAGAGCTGCTGCCTCTGACCACTATGACACAGCATCCACAGACAGCACACAGCTGTCTTGGAGGAAATTGAGAAGAACGACAGTAAGTACACACACACATGCATACACACATGTACGCACACAAACACATGCATGCACAGATACATGCACATATACACAATGCATACACATATACACACAACACATACACAAAAATGTACATAACACAAACACACACAGCAATACATATCCACACAAATGCATACACACTTAAACACACAAAGACATAGACACATACACACAAACACATGTACAACACACATAAAACACACACAGTCACAGAAACAAATACATACACACACACTTCTGATAACTTAATCATGAAAGAAAACCACTCCATGAATATTTCCTATGCAGCTTTTACAGTAACGATGCTGATATTTGAGGACCAAATTGTATATGTTTGTCAGCCTCAGAATAACTATGGGATGTGCTATGTTTTGCCTCTAAAATGACTCTTAAAGTTTGTGTGTTAAAGGCTCAGTTGGCAGCCTTAGCTCCGAGGAAAGGTGGCAGAACCATTGGCAGTACCTCACTCTCTCTTTCTCTGGTTTTGGCTACAATAAGCAGACCTGCCTTGCTCCATCACACACTCCACACTACGATGTCTGCCTTGCCACGGGCACGATGGCACTGAAACCACCTGGCCATGCCACAATAAACCTCCTGGTCCAGTGGCTCAGGGATTTGTCGCAGTGAGGGAAAGCTGGCTGATGGGATCCTCTTCGAAACTCAATTTAGTCTACCAGCTTTCCTTTAAGAACTGGGTCCCAGGCAAGGATACTTTTTTCTGTATCATAAAATACCTACACATACACACACTCCAGCTGTGTAAGTGAACGTGCCACTGAGGCCTCGAACTCTGAAGCTCCATTATGCCTCTTGTTTATTCTTTTCTGGCTGTGCAACTGGCTTACTGCCTTAATAATAGCTGTGCGTGCAGCATATGACTAACGGCTCAAAGATTTATTTATTTTTATCTCTATATGTGTAGGTGCTTGTCTGTGTGTTGCAGAATATTTAACGATGCGAAGATATGTTGCATTGTTTATGTTGTACGATACTTGTTTAACTGTGTAAAGATGTGTTGCTCTTTACCTTGCCGAAAGCACCTGATAGGCCTAATAAATAGCTAGACGACCAATAGAAAAGGAGGAGGTATAGGCAGGACTTCCAGGAAGGAGAATAAGTAGAAGAAGGAATCTAGACTCAGAGGAGAAAGAGAAGAAAGAAAAGAGACACCCAGGAGATGCTAGGGCCAGACAGACAGACACAGAAGAAGGAGAGCAGAACATGCAGAATGAGAGAAAAATAAAAAGCCCCAAGGCAAAATGTGGATGAAGAGAAACAGGTTAAGTTATAAAAGTGAGTGGGATAAATGAGGCAATTTGAAGAGAAATAACTGCGCCCATATTCCCAGATATTGTTTATAAATATTCTTTCACATTTAAAGGGGGATATGATTTAGATATGAATAATTTGCATTGGAATGGATTTTAAGGTCAATTTTGTTATATGTATATGTATTTCTGATCTTGATTAAGGTATTATGATTGTGTAGTTCATTTAAAAACATAATGTATAATTAGGAAATATAGGTTATTAATGGATAATCATCAATAATAGTAAAGCTTGTGGTCATGTTAGTTAGATTTTCTAGATATTTCAGTTAGATAGGCATTCTTCATATCTTTCAAAGACTACAGAATATGACATTTTAATAACTTAGGGCTTTTCATGACAATGAGACACGTCTGCTCCTGGCAGCACCAATCTACTTCAAGAGGAAGATGGGCATTGAAGAGGCTCCTTATGGAGTTGGTTAGCCATTTGGGCAAGAAACTGCTCTTGCCTGGACTGTTGCATAAACTGGACACAGAGAACCCACAGAGAGAGGACTGCTGAACTTACCTAAAGGTGAGATGGTCTTTCGGGGTTCCTGATTTATGAAAGAGTCTGTGAGACATTCTGCAGGACACAACAGAAAGTGACTGAACTGCCTTTGAATTTCCTGTTTCATGGAAATGTCTGTTGGAAACTATGGGCCTGAAGGCTGAAGATGGATGCCCCAATGGTACAGAGGAACTTTAGGTGGCTGTCCAGACAGCAAGATGT